CCCCCCGCCGCCTCCTCCTCCTCCCGCACCCACGACACCTCCTGAATTTACAAGGTAGCTGCCAAGGTGGCAGAAGCCGACCTCTTGCGGCGTCTGCAAGGCGCAGCTTCCGCAGAGGCCGAACTCCGACACCTCATCCGTCGAAGAGACATTCGGATCGAGGAGCTCAAGCGCGACCTGGCAACATTTGACAGGCTAGGGCGGTCGATGTCCGGCGGGAGCGGCAGCGGCAGCAACCGCCACCACCACCACCAGCGCCTCAGCCTTCGGGAGTCGGGGTCGATTGGCTCTCCAGGGAATGTTTCGGGAGCGGCGGCGGCGACGGCGGCGGGAGATACGGCAGCACGTGGCAGCCAGGCGAAAGCCGTGGCGAGCGAGCGGGCGGCGAAGGAGGTGGCGTTGACGGCGACCTTGAAACACCTTGAGCTCGAGCTGGCGGAGGCGTCGGCGAGGGGGGAAGTCGGGGACGCGGTCACTCGAGCGGCGGAGCGTTTCGCGTTGCGACTGTTACCAGAGGCCGAGAGCAGTGGCGGTGGTGGTCGCGGCGCGTGGAACAGCAAGGGGTACTGCACCGCATGTGGGTTGACCCCCGAACGAGCAAGGCGCCCGGTGGCGAATCTAGCTGATTCTGGACGCGGGGCGTTGTTCTTGGTGCCCAGCGCGGATGTCGAGCGAAAGGCCACGCTAGCAGCATCGTCGGCCGCGTTGGATGCGGCGACCGAGGCGCAACCCGAGACACCGGCAGCCGCAGCTGGCAACAGCAGTGCTTCCGCGGACAACGACGCCGGCGCCGTAGAGACGTCTCCCGCCCGGTCGGCAGCACGCACGACGTCGGCAGACACTCCTACTCGAACTGCAGGAGAAGGAGAGAGAAGGAAGCGGGTGTCTTCCCCCTCCACTGCAGCCGCGCTTGGGCTTAGCAGCGGTGTGCAGTCGCTGGAATCCAACCTGGCGCGCTTGGAGGCCATTGTTGCCGGCAACGGTCCGGCTGGGGTAGCAGAGAGTAAAGATGGAGCACCCGATGGCCTCGGGTGGATTCGATCGGGTTCTGCTCATGGAGGAACGGTGGTGGAAGCCGCGTGGGCGGAGGCCGTGCGCGGGCTGAGGGCGCAAGTGCTCGACCTGGGCCATCGGGCGGAGGTCACCAAGGAACTGCTAGAGGTGGGATCTAACAACGGCATCTGTGCTTGCCTCAAAGGGCAGACGGTAGCTTCCTCGCGCGTTTGCAAGGCTTTCGTGCGTGCCAAATGGCTTCCTTCGGGCGGGGTGTGACACAAGCCCGCCGTGCCATCAAACGGCTCGAAACGTGCACGACTGCTGCAATTTTCCCTCCCCCCTGGCTTCGGTCAACCGTTCGGCATCGTCGAACCCTGGCGAACGCACCCTTCGATTCCCTCATAGTATCGAGAGTAATTTTCTTATCGGTTTTGTTGGATTGTGCGCTAACCGAAAACGCCTGCTCTCAGGAGGAACGAGCGGCGAAGGGCAACCTGGACGAGGAAGTGCTCCGGTTGCGGACGGAGCTCCTGAGACAGCAGCGGAGCTACTGGCAAGCGACGGCCAAGCTCAAAGAAAGGTATGGCACCTATCACCCGACTTCCTAACAAGGTTGCTCGTCGCTTGGGGGGTTGTGACGACCTGCCTCGATCGGCCGCGTCGAACGCCCGACCAATGCGCACCAAACCGATGCATCCAGCAGGTACGAACGCGCCCGTCACGAAGACAACGAGCAAGAAGGCAACGAGGAGGATGAACCGGTGCCTCTCGGTGTTGCCGCCGCTGCTGGAAGTCACGAGACGACCGTATCGTCGGATGCACGAGGAACGCCAGCAGACGAGGACGAACAGGGGACGGCTGCGACGGGGGCAAGGGCGCAGGAGCAGGAGAAGGAAGAGGAGCAGCAGCAGCAGCAGCAGCAGAACCGGTCGTTTCTGGCGGAGGTCGAAGAGCGGCTACGGGACAGAACGCGGGAACTGCGACAAGTCCGGCGCCTGCACGCTAGGGAGGCGAAGGAAGTCGCGGCGGAGCTTGCCCGGGTGGTCGAGGCTCACCGAGCCAGAGTTGCTATCCTCGAGGAGAAGCTGAGACGAACCACGCGAAAGATAAAGGCAATGGCTCGGCCGAAACCGAAGACTGCCACGAAGAGGGGACGGGAGTCGGTGCGCGGTGGCGGCGGTGACGCTGGCGGTTATCATTGTGCTTTCTCTTCCAGTACTCCGCTCTCGACAGATGAGCTGCTGAACTTACTCGCCGCGGCCGACGAGGAGGTGTTTGAAGCGAGGTCCAGGACGCAACGGCTCGAGTTCGAGCTCCGCGCGAAGACCGCTGAGGCGGACGCTCTCCTTCGGGAAGACGGAGGTCTTTTCGCCGCAACCCCCGTTCCAACCGAGAAGGTTGGCATCGAAGGAGCGGGCGACGGCCAGGTAAGTGCGCTTGACATTTCTCCCTCTTGTGCCACGGACACCACCATAGAGAGCACCGGGAAGGCTACCGGTCTTGCGAGCGTGGCCTGCGCCGCCCGCCTGGCCGCAGCCGAGGCCGAAGTGGCGACGTTGAGGGAAGAAAGCCTGGCTGCCAGAGAGCTCGTGGTCAGAGCGCAACGGGAGTCTGCCGCTCTGAAGCTGGCCGCACACAGGAGGACGGCCGACCGCGCGGACGGGAGTCGGTCCAGAGAGAAAGAGCTGCGCCGTCAAGTGTCGGCGTACAAACGCGAGGCGGAGAGGCTTCGGTCGACGGCTACAGCGGCATCGGCTCTTGCCCCCACTACAGGGAAGCATGGCGGAGCAAGGAAAGGAGGAGGGGGCGGAGCAGCAGCAGCAGCGGCAGCTGGGGGGGATGCCGAAACGGCAGCCCTGAAACTTCGGACGCAGCAGTTGGGCGCCATGCGAGAGGAGTCAGAGCGGAGGGGGCGGGCGATCGTCGCCCTTCGAGCGGCCAAAGCTGCTCTCGGCGAGGACCTTCGGCGACTGCGACAGGAGGCGGCGGGCCAAGAAGAAAAGCTTGCTAGGGCGTACAGGGACGCGGGCGTCAAGGGCAACACGGTCAAGGCCCTCCGAGAGAAAGTCACCGCGCTTGAGGCCGAGATCCTGGCGCTTCAGTCTGCGAGAACGAACGCCAACGCCATCACTTTGGGTGGTCGAGTTCTGTCTGCCGAAGCAAAAGGGGGGAGCCTTCCTGCTACTGACGCCGTCACGGCGGACTGCCCCGGTGACGCTGTCGGGGCAGCGTTACAGCCGTCAGTCCCTCTTTGCGACGTCCAGACGGCCACGGTGCGAGATCTGAGGGCCGAGCGTGACCGCTTGCGGGCCAGCATGCGCGGGTGGCACGGGTCGCTGTCCAAAAAGACAGCGGAGATCGACGCGCAGGTGGCGGAGCTCCAGAGGTTGGAAGCGGAGGCCGGGACTCTCCGTGCCGCGGTCGCGAGGAAGGACGACGCCTACCGTGCCACCAAGAAGCAGGCGAGTTTTCGCCGTAGTTAATTGGTTTGCGAGGGCGGCGGAACTTAAGATGCTGCCTGGGTGGGCGGATGGACTTCGTGTTGTGGGTCCGCGGAACGTAGCCGAGGGTTGTTGTGGCGCGTCGAGCATTTGTCCTCTTCCATATGCAAGAAATATTTGCTTCGTATACGTCTGTGCTTTATCACCGTCAAAAACCCAGTTTTTTTACGTATTGAAAGCAATATGCAACGAAAGCTGATATGGTTAAGCATCAAACGCCCTACAGTACTCCTGTTCTTCGCCTGAACTCGCAACGATATTGCCACCACAACAGCTCTTGTCAGTCCGCGAGGAGTACGAGCAGTTCAAGGATTCGAGCCATCGCTGGCGGGCGGACGCGGAGGCCAAGTGGAGAGGTCTCAGGCGGGCCAGCGAGGCCGCCGCCAGGAGGGCCAAGGACAGCGAGAAGAGCGGAGACGCGGCCGAGCTAGAGCTCGCCGCGCTCAAGTCGGCCTTCCGCTCCTTCCTCAAGACCCTGTGGGACGACCTGAGGTCTCGCCCCCCCGTTGCCTCGCCTGCTGCCGGCGCCGCCGATGCCTGCCCTGCTGCGCCCGACGTGGTGGGCGGCCACGCTGGTAAAGCAGGTATCGACAGCAGCGCCAAGGCTTCTGCTGGGCAGCACGGGAGTGGGGGTGGCAGCGCCTCGGGAGACGGGAGATCTGGCGAATGTGCGAAGAGTTGGACACGAAAGGGAGGTGATGCTGCGGCGGCGCCGACATCGACAGGGTCGTTGCCCATCAACGCCGCCGAGAGACACAAACAAGGAGACGCGGAACAAGAGATGTTTGTGGGGCTGGCGAAAGCAACGGCGGCTATAGCGGCTGCAGGAGGGGGTGGCGGTGTTGAAGTTTCTCATGTAGGACGAGGAGGAAAGGGAGGAGGAGGAGGAGGAGGAGGGAGTCCGTTTGGAGAGCTTACCGAAGCCGAGGTTTCCGACATCATGCAAGCGCTCAGCTTGAGCGACGACAAGGGAGGATCCCGCCTGCTGCTGTCCTCATCCTCGTCACCGTCGTCATCGTCGTCGTCTTCGTCTCTCTACTGCACCGCTCACGTTGCAGCGGCGGAGCCGACTCGGATGGAAATTGCCCCCTTGACATCGCAGCAGCAGCAGCAGCAGGAAATTGTGGATGGGCGTGTTGAAAGACCAACGGAGACAGCCCCCCCGCGTCCGCAGCGGGACGGGAAGTTGGAGAAGAGAGGTTTCCCGGACGGGAGCGGAGAAGTTGGAAATGAGAAGGAGCCTAACGCCGAGCACAATAGCACGGAATCCGAAGGGACGACAGCATTCACAGACAGGGTGGAGTCGGCGTTGGGGGGTTCGAACACATCCGCAGATCTCGCGGAAGTGCTTCGCTCGTTGCGCGCTTCGGGTTTGTCGAAGACGGTGGCCGACATCGCTGTGGATGATGAGTCTATTTTCCGGTCAACGTCGCTTGTTGTACCGCAAGAACCAACGAGACCGTCGAGGTCATGGTCGCAGCCTTCCTTCCACCCCGCTGCCGCCGCGGGGCATCCGCTTGCTCCGGGAGGCAGAGATCCCGGTGACACTGTTGAGCGATTGTCGTCGTCGCGCGACGGCACATCTCCTGCTCTTGGGGGACCGGTCCTGTTGGGCGATCGCTGGGGCGGCACCGGGAGGACGCTCAGTCCTCTAGAGGAAGAAACGTCGGTGGGCTCGCTGGCGGAGACCGCGGCGTTCGGTGGCTTAGTTGGCGACAACTCCGAACCGCTTCTGGTGGGGGATTTAGCGTCACCGTCGTAGGGTACGCAGGAGTCGACCGGTGAAACACGGCTGTTGCTGATCACGCCATGGGGACCCGCCCCGTGTTTTACACACAAATACATATGTAACTGTAGGTCCCTGTCAAGCCCCCGGCCGCCACTTGTGCGTCCTGGTTCGTGAATCCTGTACCTTCGAAAGGCATCGAAGTCTTAGCTTATCCTGGAAAAGACTACTGCTGCTTTGGTCGTGATGTTGTTGTTTGTTGATGTGAGTGTTTCGGGCGACGCCAAACGTGTGAGGATACGAAAGTTTTTTTTCTGTGTAGACTGATCCATGGAACAAATAAGGCGCTGAGTACGGGGCACTGCTGTTGTCATGGTTGTTTTCAGAGGGTGAATATTGTAGAAAGAGTTGAAACTTCAAACTTTCCGTCTTAGGTGCATGTACAAACCATCACGATGCTCTGTTGTGCAAGATTCTTTAGCACCAACGAATGTGGTTCTGTGGAGGTGGAGCAGGCCGTGCTTCGTACGTGTGTCCTTGTCGTGTTCTGTGATGTGATGTTGGATCCGTGTGGCCCATGTTGAAAGTGTAGACTAGACACTAAAAAGGCAACAGTCTTGCTTGACTGTCTGGGAATGTAACGAAAAGCTGTCGGTTGCTCGCTGATTTCAGTATTTTAACGGACACCATGCTTGTGCTACTGTGAAAACTGACACACAACGGCAGAAATTACGCAGCACGTGCAGACAGACGCATGCGTGTTCGCGCTGCCCGGCGTAGCGAGTACGAAACACTCGCACCCAACTTGACTATCATTTGCTACCCAGGACTACTGTAACCATCGTTTGGAAATACCGAATCACCTGGGATCTTTGCTTGCACAAAGCCATTGTTTTCAGAAAACAGACACACGGCGCCCGATGATGGCCAAAAACCTTCAAGAGACACCAATCTCAACACCTACGCACAAACAACTAGCGGGTGCATAATTCCTTGTTGCAAGCAGTTGTTCTCTGCACACGGCAATTGTACGTGATCTTGCCCAGGTCGGAAAATCACTTCGAGGAGAACCCGCTCGCGGGCATGTGCATCTTTCGCCCAACATCGTAACTAGCTTCTTGGGGTGGAGCTTTACTTTGTACTTTCTACCCGCCCGTTGTTGTTGGAGGCCCTTGGTGATCTAAACGGTAAAAAAAAAATCCATTCACCTCATGGCACAGTCACGAAGTCAATGCAAATCAAGCTGCACCAAAGACTGCATACTCTGCGTATGTCCAGGGTCCAGGCATGTCACAGACACCGATGGCAACCCGTTTTCTCCCTGTCCATCCACTGCAAACTACTACAGTACTATATACCTCCACTTCCGTCATTTTCTCAGAGGACCGCCTAAGGCCATCACAGACCTCTGTTGTTCAGGTGACACGCAGATGCCATACACAACACAGCATGTTGTTACATGCCACACACAACACAATTCTCCTTCGTTCATTCAAGAGACAAAAGTGACAAGCGGTCAAGGAAGGAAACAGCCAAGGTCGAAACGGTACGCGGTCAAAATTGGCACACCCAGGCAACCGCTGCGAACACCCTACATTCCCCCGTTGCCCAGCCCCGCTAGCGGCCGGTCAATCTCTTGAATCCCTTGAACGCTCCCTGCTGCTGCAGGTCGGTAACGATGTCCATGCTCTTCAGCCCCACCTGCCGTGGCCCTTTCTTAAAGATCGACTGTCGGTCCGCGTCCACCTTTCGAAGCGTCCGTCGTAGCGCTTTCACCGCCTGCGCCTTTCCCCTGTAGAAATGACGCCGTTTGAGTTTAACAAGAGACGAGAAATCGTTGGACACGGCGGCGCACCGTTATAACTGTGTCACCCTCGTACACCACTGACTCTTCCCTCGCGACCACGGATTATGTTCTGTCGGATCACGGTTTCGTCAGCCACCAAGAACTGTCCTGACGTGGTTCTCAACCGACAAGCACATCGTGAGAAAACTCCTCTCCCACCCAACCACATCTCCTTCTTCATTCTCGTACTTCCCAACCCCCGTAGCGTGCCCCCAGCCTGCGAGTCCTCTCTCAGTCTTGGATTGGTCGACACTTGAAAATGATATTACTCCGTCCTCCCCCCTCTCTGAAGAAGAACCTTCGCCCCCCTACCCTGACGTTCTTACCTTGCGAACTCTCTCTTCGCCTTGGCATGCTCGGCATTCATGGCATCGTGCAGCTCTTTTCTCGAAGGATGTCGCCGGTAGGTGTCGGACCCCCCGCTCTGGCACCACGGCACTGGCACAGTCCGGACGATGTTCTCAGACCGTCGGCCAGCGGTGGAGCTGCTCTGCCTCAGATATTCCTTGGACGTTCGGTTGTTGGCGGCGCGAAGAAGGGCGGCTGTGTCTGCGATGCTTTAACTACCATCGACCACGCCAACCGGCTGGCCAACGAAAATGCATCAATCTTCATTGTTGGACGATAGACGCGAGCACACAGCAGTGTATGGCTTGTTGGGTTGTGAAAGTACCGAGGTTGATCAGCTAGCGCAAAGACAAGAATGACGATGCCGCTCGACTTTTCTGGTGCTACAGTACTGTTGGTCAGTGAACTGTCGCTCTCGCGCTGGTGGAGGTGAAAAAAAGAGTAAGCTCTGTACCAACAACATCCGACGCATTGTTCGCTGGTCACGCAGAAGGAAGACAACGCTGGACTTCGATCAGGGGATCTCGCTGAGTTACCTCGGTTTCAGCTGAGACAGAAAACATCACGGACGAGGTGCTGCAGAGGCAATCTGCATGGCGCCTAGCGGCTGAGTCTACTCCCGGGATCATCACACATATGATATTTAGGAACACGTACGCAATTGTCTTTCGCCCTCGTTCACCTGCAGCATCGGCGATATCTGGGCCGCGTCGAAGATGGTGCGTTGCTGCCGCGGCCTGAGCGTTGTCAAGCCCTCTTGCCTCTTCGGCTTGAACCTCAACGTGCTCCGGTCCCCAGTGTACGCCATCAAAGGGTCCGGCCGGAATGTCTTGTTCATTCGCTGAATTATGGTGCCCTCCTCGCCTCCTCCTCCTGCTCCGTCTCCTCCTTCTTCTCCTGCGACCCCTTCTTTCTTTCCTTTCCCAGGACCACTACCGCCACCGCCTCTCCCGCTTTCTTTAGATGCCGGCGAAGGGCCGCCCTCCTTGTCCCCCCCGTTGGGTGATCTCTTCCCCCCGCCAGCCCCGGCTCCGCCTTCGGTTTCCGACGGCGGAGACCCCCCCCCGGCTGTTGATGGTGGTCCCGACCCTCCCCCTCCTGAAGCTGATGTTGCCGCAACCACGGCCGCAGCCATGCCAACGCTCGCCCCCGTTGTTGCTCGCGTCCCCGGGGCGTGCACGTGGTGGGGATGGTACTCTAGCTCGTCCATGGCTTCTGCGGCCTCGTCGGGAAATAGCTTGGTTCTCATCTCGGTGGTGCAAGACGGTGTTACCTGATGGGGCGGGGAGGTGATGGCGGGGCAAGGGGCTTCAAACGGGCTTTTCCTGCACGGTGATACCACAGGTGCAACAAATAACTACCCTTGTTCCCCCGCCACCTCACACGTTTTGCCACTACGGGACAATGTCATCCAAGCAACTGGCCACCGTGTTCGCGAATATGTAGGTGAGCAGACTCTGTACCCCCTGTGTATCGTGATGGGATTTGAGTGGATGCTAGCAGTTCGGATCAGATACTACTGTTACTTTTTTTTTTATGTCTCCCTCTCACCTCGATTCCGCTCAATATCCTCGCGCACTGGAGGTACAGTACCCGCTTAAACGCGTTGGAGTAGAGGTGCCGAGACCCGGGGCAGAGGTAGTGGAAACCCCAGATGACGGCGTTTGCAACGAGGAAAGGGTAGTGCTTGAAGAAAAAATCCTTGTAGTCCTCCATCCCGTCCGTCCCAAGAACACCTACGTAGCAATTCGAGACGGATCGCAAGAGGTGCGCCTGTTCCCGCCGGCTGTCTTCCTGTCGTAGTCCGGCATGAGAGAAGCAACCGTAAGGTAGAGCGAGAAAGAGAACGTGCTTTGGCGGGGGCGATCTGGCTGATTGTGTCAGGAGGTCCAATGCATGTGGGGGAATTTCGGGTTGGTGTCATGAGGGGATGCTGAGAGTTGGAGGTGTTAGTGCGTGGTACCGTCGGGCCCAAACGTCGTTAAAGCGCCATGCACAAACGTCCGGTAGAATCAATATCATAGCAAGACGTGCCAACCATCTGCGTGAGAGATCCCTGCGCTTATCATGGTGATCACGTGTGCATGCCAAAGCTAGTCGTACGATGGGGGGTGAAACAGTTTCGTGTGCCACAGGCACAAGCTTGAAGCTTATCTATCACCCCAGCTTGTTAACCCTTGTTTCACTCGAAAAACGTCTTCTCGCGACTGCTGTGCGGTGGCTACAGCTGTAGAGGCTGACCTGAAAAAATTTGCAGTGGATGAACCAGAAGATGTAGACGAAGAGGTGCTGAGACTCCAACGAGGTTGCGAAGTGCTTGAACATGCGCGCCCCGCCGGGGAGAACCGTGCGCTCGCAGGCGTAGGACAACAGCAGCTTCGGGTTCATCTCGTTCGGCTGGTCGTATTACCGAGGAAAGAAGGGAAGGGCAAGGGAGGTTCATCGTACAACATCAATGGTGTTTAGTACACCTGAACTTGGTAGTTGGAGATGGAACCTCAGCAACAGCTAACTGTGTTAGTCTTCCATTATGCTTGAAATTTTCGCTTACCGTGCTATGACGCAGATGTTCTCATAGAGCTAGCCGCGCCGGAAAGGCGAGGTTGAGCCTCCCGTACCCCCTTGAAACAACTCGAGAACTGCTTGCTAGGCTCTGTATCTCTTTTCCTCTCTAACCTCCATGGGGATGGGAAACCGCTCTTGTGCCATGATGTCTGCAAGAGCACGGGGATCAGACGTGGCGTGCGCGCTTTCCCCGCGTGGCTCTCCTGTACCATTTTCGTGAACAAGGGTGCCGTCTTGACCTCCTCCTTCGCCCCTCCGCCCCCTCCTCTCCGCTTCGTCGTCTTCGTCACCGATGTCCGCGATACCGCCGGGAATGCGGTAAACGAGCTCGGTGACCGCGCGAGTGACGTACTGGTCGAGGTTCGACTGCAGTTTGCGCTCGAAGTGCAGGCGCTCGTGCTTTCGGGACTCGTTCTTCTTGTAATGGTCGACCCGCTTCAGCTTTCCCGTCATTGTTTTGTTGAATTTTGGCGTGGCGCTTGAGGCCTGCCGGTAGCAACGGTATTGAATGTTTTGTATGCCGCTGGCAGATGAGCATGTCTTGCAGCGGTTTCTACGCACTCCCGAAATACTCAAGAAATATGCATACACACATGAAACATTAATATCCTCTAACCATGCGGACCAACCGGCGTACATGACGTGCCCATTCCCGCCGTTACTTCTTAGAGTGCGGATGCGCCCCAGGATCAATGGTGTCACGTGTAGGAGGGTTACGTCTGACGATGTGTACTGCCGTGTGCGAATTCTCCAACGCGAAAACGAAAACCATGTGTGCATGCAGTTCCTCCGCAGTAGTTTCCGGAGAATGCTACAGATATTCGCACACCTGTTTCAGCCCGTACTCCTGCTCGAATTGATGCGCAAGTTTCCGTCCGGCATCGGTCTGTGGGGCATTTCGGAACGTCATTCGCGGCGCCGCTAGAGCATCGCTGGCGTCCACCCCCTCTCCCCCGTTGCTGCCTCCTCCTTGGTTGAAAATGGTCGATCGCTGCTTGGCTTTGTCGGTCCCCTTTCGCGGGGTGGAGCTGTTCCAGCCTTCCTCGGCAATCACGGCCATCGCCCTGGTTTGCGACGAGCGAAAATCGGTGGCCTCGTCGAGATCGGACTTGCAGCCATTGTAGCGGTTGATGACAACGGCGTTCAGGCTGGTGAGGCGGTCGCTCAGAACGTCCACCATCTGCAAGATGCTGCGCTCCTTGTGCGCGAGCTTTTGGTTCCCTGATCTGTTGCCGTCACCGCCGGGGTTTGTATGATGGCTGTTGCTGTCGAGCAGGTTGTTTTCGTCGTCGTCATTGCCATCGTCATCCGTGTCGTCACCATCCTCCCCCCCACCAAGCGCGTACCCAGATTCGTCCTCTATGCGATACATCCGAAGATCCTCCATGTGTATCTCATCGGCGTCAAGATCGATCCCCGCCTCCGCCGCCAGCTGCTCGAAGTGGGCAGAGGTTGCGCTTATAGAATGCCGTTTCGCCGGTGGCAACGAGCTCATCGAGTATGAAACCAGAACCTCCCCTAGCATGCTCCCTTCGAAGCCCATCCCACCAGCCATTTCGGTCGACAGCCTCGGTTTTGGGGCGGGGACATGTCCGAGACCCTTGACCACCTTCGAGCTCAGATTCTTCAGCGAGTTAGACGATTGCCCGGAGGATTCCGGTGCCATCGCGGGATCCGAAGCACCAACGGAGGTCATCTTGAACACGGTCCACCTGTCGAGATCTCTGGTCCTCAATCAGTGCTCGCGGGCCGGATGGCGTTGCGGATGGCAGAAGCTTGGCGTGTGCGGCGTAATCAAGGTTCTCGCGTGTTGTTGAAACGTCACACGCAGACTATTCGGAATATTTTTTCCCACGCACCAAGTACAGCAATTCCGCCGCACGCGAACTCGGGCAGCGTGCGTGGTGTGTGGTAAAGCTCGTGTGGTGTGTAGAGCTGCTGCGGAGCTGTGGATCTCAGAGTCTACAGCACATGTCATACCTCACACGTGTCGTGCTCACTGGTCATTCAGAAACTCTGTCGTAAAAGCTAGCGATCGGAATGCACCAGGGATATGGCGGATCCATCCGACGACGGAAAGGATTGCTCCGAGGCGTCCCTCTCGCTCGGTCACAATCGCTTGATGCGATATCAAAATCACTAGTGCGTGTATCTGAACAGCACAAGCGCGCCAATTACAGCAGCGGAACCAGCACCGACAGATCCGATATCGCCGACAACCTTCACGGTGCGTCGATAAGCACTACAGCAGTAGTGACACCAAAGTCGGGCTGATCCATTCTTCTTGGAGCATGTAGGCAAGACTTGTGTTGAACCAGCGGCCAATCGATATTTCTCCACTCTTGTCTACTGCTATGCACCTCACGAAACACATGGACCCGAAGACTAAGTGAAGATATGAAGTGAATGTTAGACACATATCCCGCGATGATCTCGCCGCACGCACGAATTCCACCTTGCTTCTTGAAGGACCGCAGCACTTGCCTCCTCTGGGGCGGAAAGAACGGCGATCCCACGTCGTGGCACCCTCCCTGCAGCAGCAGCAGCAGCAGCAGCAGCAGCAGCAGCAGCAGCAGAAGCAGCAGCAGCACCACCTCGCGAGAAGGCATAAAAACAACAGACCTGCTGTTGGTTTTCCCTTATCATCGGGTGTATCATCAAGTTCCAAGGACTCACCGTTCACAGAACCGGCTGTCGTCCCAGCCAACGGTTGGACAACCTTCGCGGATGTCTTCGTACAGGCCGGACAGGCTGCGGGCATCGCGTTTCAGTGGAGGGTAGCGGGGCTGAGCGTTGTCGGTGTGGCCGATGGATCTCTGGCAGCGAGGCATGGAGGCATCTCGCCTGGTATGATGCTCGTCGAGATAAACCGAGAAAGAGTTACGGGAATGGGCCAAGACGAGATGATGAGTTTCATGCAGAAGTTGGCCTCTCAACCGCGGGTGCTAACGCTCGCTCGAATAGCTGCTCCGCCGCCACCTCTTCCACCTGCGGTTAGTGCTAGCCCTGGTGATACAGACATGCGCTTAGGGGAGGCGGCATCTAAACCAATGAAAACGAAGTATCAGATGCAAGGCTCCTCTTCCGCCGTATTCATCAGCTCCACCGAAGAAGACGATAGTAGACAATCAATACGCAGCACCGCTACTATTGGACGGCATTCGTCCGGCGTGACGTCGCAGGCCAACTCTCGGCCGCACTCGTCAGTCTCGCCCAGCGATAGTGGCGACCGAGATGGTTCCTCCGCAGTTGTAAACGGCTCGGCCACGTTGTCTCCCTCGCAGGCCTCAATTGACGGCCTACGTGGGTCACCTTTAGCATCGACGCTATCATCGTCGAGAAACAGAAATCAACCCCGTTGGGCGTCATCATCATTTCTTCCACAAAGGCTTATCGCCCTCCGATTTGTGGGAAGCCGAGGAGACACGACCCTCTTCGACAGAGACCATATACTGGGTCTCAAATCTCGTGACATTGAGTTCGTTCCTCCAAACCCTACCTGTTTCGCGGGGTCGCACTCCTCAAAGACCGCTGCGCAGCACCACAGAGCAAACAGCCAGCGAAGCCTCCAAGACATGTCACGGGACTGGAGAAACGACCCGTTCTCAACGCCGGCCCGCCGTCGCAGGCTTATCAACGACGTCTGCAAGGTCATCGTCCGGACTTACACCCATGCCTCCGTCTTGCGGGTCGTGGGGCTTCGGAGGGAAGAACGCTACGCCACCCGCATCCAGGCCGCGTTCAGGATGATATCGACTCGGCGACTGTTTTGCGCCAAGCTCGAGGCTAGGGTCAGTGCCGCATCGGTGCTGCAGCTGGGGTGGCTGTCGTGGGCGGCTCAAAGGCGGGTGCGGGTCCTCAGGGAGACGAGGGATCACGACCGACGCGTGGAGGAAGGAAGGCGCAAGAGACGGGAAGATCACGAGAGGAGAGAGAGGAGTCGCCGGAGGGAGGAACAGCGAGAGAGGGAGGGGGAGGCAACGGAGAAGCGACAACGAGAGCTGGAGTCGGCGGTTGTCTTGCAACGGCGATTTCGAGCTAGACAAGAGGTGAGTGGAACGTGCACGGAGCAAGCTGCGGGTTTCAACAACAGAACCACGGTTACACTGATTAGTGGTGACAAGGTTGATCGGCGGGTACTGATTGTGGGAGCTGTGCTGTGCTGTGGTGCCCAGTAGGTTTGATTCCATCTTTTTCGACTTGAGTTGTTACTTAAGCGGACCCAATGTTGCTTCTTCTTGTCCAATCGTAGTGCTCGTACACGACCGCCTGGTTGACAGGGTATCTGTTGTACCAACGTTCGTTTCATCAACCGAGAAGCGCAACAAAACTCAACGTTTTCATCTACGAGCCTAAATACCTACCCATGTGCTTCATAATGCTGCTCGTCGCTTTGATCCAGGCGCGTCGACGGCTAACGCAAGCTCAACGACTCCGGGACGAGCAGCATCGGGAAGCAACAGCCATGATGCAGGCTACCACAGTCATTCAAGCGGCGTTTCGACGTCACCAGCGCGGGCGACGACGGCGCGAAGAACGAGAGCACAAGCAACGAAGGGCTCGCGACAAGGCCGCTATCGAGGGCTTGGCGAGCGCACGGCTCCAACAGGCCTGGCGACGGTATAAGGCCGCCAATGAGCTCAACCGACGAAGACGCCGGGAACTCGAAACATCTGGTCTGCCTTCATCGACCACTGATGAAGACGCGATGGAACATCGCACGGAAGGAGCATCCTCTAGGTCGCTGTGTTCCAACGAGGGCCATCCTGACCCCAAGGACGAGGATCCGGACATCTCGAAGAAGGGCGTTCGACAAGATATGTCGGGGGACGTCAACAAAGGAGCTTCAGGCTGGGACAACTGGTCGTCCGCTTTCGGAGTCAACTCTTCACTCGCTGCGGAAATAGCGCGGGAAGGGGAGACGGACAATGCTGCCGAAAACGTCCGACCCTGGACTTCAACAGGAGCTGCGGAGAGCCCTGCACCATCACGAAGCCGCCATCATCACCCTAAAGATCCTCCCCCCGCCGGGATGATGACAGTGACGGTACGGAGGGGATCAGAGGAGACCAGCTTGGTGACGCCGATTGTTCTTACCGAAAGCGGCGGCGAAGACATGGACGCAGAAACAACACGCGAATCCGAAATTGGCACAGCGTCGGCCACAGCCGGCGTGTCGGTGGTGACGGCCGACTCAAGTATCCTCGGCAGCGACGAGAGCGGAGGAACTCGGCCCCGAGCAGTTGCGGTTGCAGACAAAACTGTGCGCGTCGCTGAGGCTAAGGGTGCCGCCCCTCCGGCTCACGCCGACACACCAAAATCAAGAAGAAAACAGGCGGAGAGGACGAAAACGCCGGCAAGTGCAATAGCTGCATCGGAGGTCGCGAAGCCTGCAAACCCGGCTCCAAAACAAGACGCTGACGACGCGGCGGTAGCGGGGAAGATCTCGCAGATACCTTCCACCACGGCACCCCAAATAGCCAACGAGGAGGCCAAAGGTGTTTCAGCGATGGTTCCGGTGGCGCTCCTAAGAAAGGGGACTGCTGCGAGCGAGGGGGACCCACCGATGACAGTATCGACACCGATGACCGAGCCAGCCGAGGAGGCAGCCCGAGACGTAGTTGAGCCTACGGAACAGCTGTTCATGGAGGACACGCAGGTATACCTTGGGTGCGGGATGTGCGGCGTCAAGTACCTCGTCGAAGCTGTGGACCCTGGGGTGTCAAAATCAGCGCAAGGTAAGCGCTTTGATTTCTCGTTTCGTTCATTGTTTCTGAAATATACCTGCATTATTAGAAATGTACGTACAATCACAGAGAGGCTACCCGTTGTTATTCTTCCGAAGTTCCAGCTACTGTGAACGCAGAAAAAGGACGGCTGGCGAGTTGGGTCACCAGGTCACATAAGCAGTGTGAATATTCCCCCGACAAGAACCTCTTTCGAAGGGGTTGATGCCTTGTGGGCAAGCGTTTGTTTGAAGACCAGCTTCCTGTTCAACGTCGAATCACTCTATTGCTTCTGCTCCATCCGATCATATGGTGGTGTTAATGGTTGCATCATCATCTACGCAAACCAACTTCACTATCGTCGAACCGACATGAACAGACGCGATGTGATAAGCCACGCGTGAAAACATCTCCTCCTCTCTAAACGTGCCCAATTACGTCGAGAATTCGGCACACGGGCAGTCTGTATCTCGTCAACGTACAGACGTGCCTGCTGCGATCGTGCTTGCCACCACACATCGAACCAGCAGGGCAACCAACGCCAGAAGTTCTCTACCTCTGTACCACCTGCGGCGCGACTCTCCGAAACAACGGCGAGGACGGTCGCTGGAAGCGCCGCCGCCGTCCAAGCAGCGCACCCGCGGCGGGGCGCCGTCGCCGTAGCGCCTTTTCGGTCGGCGGTCGCGACGGCGGCGCAAGAGCAAACAACGAATACGGACCACCACCAGGCAACGGGTGGAACGGCGACAGGGCGACCGCCCTTGTCGAGTCTCCGAGTGTTGTGGAAAGCCTTCAGCAGGCGTTGCAAACGGGCGGAGGCAAGCGACAAGGCGAGAACGATTCTGCTACGAGGCTTCGGTATGCTCACTGCGCGAAGGCAATCCAGCATGCGTACCAGAACTTTCGGCACCGGCAGTACCTGCGCGATTGGGCCTTTAGTCTGGTAAGGGGGGTACCAGACATGGTGCTTGTTGTGTTAACGGCCGGTTGAACGCCTGGTATCGATTGCCCTGAAATTTCTCTGGACTAGGTGCATACGGAATATACTTGTTCTTGTTCAACTGTCCACGACTTTCAGTTCTCGCGCTACGGCTGTACTCCTCCTGGACTCTCTGGATAAAACTTTCCCGTAATTTGTCACGGGAAATAGTTTGTTCTTCCTCGTGCTGGTAACCTCAACCTTGAAGGGACACAGGCTTCTAAACCACCCCTAAAGTTTTTTCTTCCTCTCCTGATGCTGGGCGGTGGCACTGACCTCGCCTTTTCCATTCCGTTCTCGAGCCAGCTTCGCCGTTGGCTTGTTCGCCAAATGCAGTCGTGGAGGAGGGCGAAGCACTGCCTTCGTTGCCGCCGTGCTACAGTGACGTTGCAGTCTGCCGCCAGAGCCATGTCCGCCCGCAGACGGTGCTCCACCCTCCGGGCCGCCAGACTACGGCTTTGGACCGACAGGGTTGCTGCTGTTTACGGCAATGGCGGCGACGAGTACTCTCCATCACCGGTTGCAGCGGAGCTGTTATGCGAGTTGGAAAGGCTCACAACACCACTGCCGCGACCCCCGGGGCTATCGCCGACGCTGGCGTCGCAGCCCCCGGCGGTTGTCAAAGCGCGGGGTGGTTTGAGGGCTAACGTTGCCTGCGGAAGGAGTAGGGGGCGTGCGTTGGCGGAGGCTTTGGCCCCAAGCATGGAACGGCCACCGCCGGGGTGCCCAGCGGCGCTTGATGTGGACTGGGGGGAGTGGGGTGTCGGGCTTAGGCTTGAATTCCCGTGTTCTCCCCGTACTTGGTGAAGATGTCGCAGAATTCCCTGGGTTAATGGCGCATGGGTCGTGTGAGTGGAAGAGAGCCTAGAGGTACATGTGTTTTTTGTTGTATGCGACGGCGGCGCTATGTAACCGACTGGCCACTTCAAGCATGTGAGGTCAAAAGGCAGCATAGGTTGACGCAACAGTGCTAACACCCCCCACTTCCCCCCTCTGGTGTATATAGCTTTGAACATCGGTGAGAGTGCAAGGCTCTGGGCAAGAACTCGAGGAGCCCCGCTCTGTATGAGCCCGCCTCAGAGGCAGTATGCCGAACTGAGCTGCTCTAAGAAGCGGGCGACAAGAATGAAAACGAACATAATAACGGATGGGATGGTAGATGTACGCTTACAAATGTGCGAGTTTGAGCACAACGACGGCGTCGTGGACGGCAACCTTGAAAGATCGATGGATCGATATGGCCCCCGCTTTCTTGCTGCTAAACTGCTGTATTCCATGTGTGGTTGAACACGGCACTCTGGTGGAGCTTGGTCCAATACAAAATAAGGCTTGAACTTCTGCTTCTTGATTAGTCTGCCACAAGTCTGTCACTTCTTTCTATGCATACATGTAGACTATGCCTTCCATGATCCAATTTCATCTCGACGACCAAGGTCCTCGCCGACAACTCGTACATATGGAATGAGACCGGGCATCAAACAATTACAACACTGCTGCTGCTGTTGGTGGTGTGGTGCACAGCTGCATATCTTATATCCACGGTAAATGTTCCACCCGATGAGCTGCAGACATCATCCAGGACGCTTCATTGCATCTCCACGTAAATCGAAATATCTACTGTACCACCACGAGAACCGGCCCCCCAGGCCCAGCCCGCATTCGGGAGGGCTGGGGGGGAATCCTCCCTATTTCCCCAAAGAACTTGCCATCGACGAAGCAAAAAGAAAAGAAAAATCGAAGGATCGCCGAGGGACTGGTGTCCTGTGTGAAAATCTATTTTTCATTACGATGCTACGTGCGGAACCACTCAGCAAACGTGCTTTAACCTTGTCAACGAAGGCCTGAGGTGTCGTACACACACATGCCCGCCGGATGCCGACTTCTTTGTGTCGCCGCGGATTCGTCTCCTTCCTTTTTATTTTTGTTCGATACAGTTTCGTTGGGCAATCCAATTTGATTGGCCGGTCTAGGCCGGTCCCCGTAGGCGGGGTGACGTGGCCCATGAAACTCGCCGCCGCCGCTCGTCCCCGTTCTCTGTCGAAGATCACAGATCAAAAGGCACCCAACCCCGACAGAAAAGCAACCCCCACCGAAGACCACAACACTCGAAGCGCGTTTTTTTAGCTCCGCGAGCACCCTACCTAGTGCTGCTGATTGTTCGCCCCGTAGCTTGAGCATTTCCTGGCATTTTCTTTTATCGAAGAAGAAGCCGCACATCCGACGACCCGCGCGGGATCTCGGATATACCGGCGGACTGCCTGGACCCTTCCATCTTGCAGCGTGGGAGCAGCAACCTCAACTGCAGGCGGCCAAGCGATAGGCAGCAGGTTGTTTCTCTGGGAATCAAGACATGCACGGCCTGAAGACTTCGCTGGTGGTGCTTGGGGCGGCCGTGACAGGACACGCTTTCGTTGCCCCGAGGGCCGGCTTCCCAACGATCACAACATCTTCTGGACTTCGACCATTTTCCGCAGCACGAACAACAGAAGCACCGAGCAGCTTGCAATGGTGAGCCCCATCTCCCGCCCTGACCCCCGTCCCCCCTCCCTCGCAAGCTGTGGCTGCAACCGGTTCCCCGTGCCCTAAAGTCGTCTAGCAGTGAAGCCCTGTAGTATCTAGTGAGGGAGGGAGTGGTTCTGGCGCGCGGGATTTCCTTTTTCCGAGACCTAGACTAGTCTTGGATAAAAAAAATCGTTCTTGTTGTTGCAGCAGAAACTTAAAATTCGTTGTTGCCGACAGAGGGAGAGAGAGCGTATATCTAGACGAGTCTAGATGACACCCTCTACAGATGGTGCGCCCACCAAGGTCCACCTCGCCCCGTGGGTCGGCCAGCTTCTTGTTGGTGGCACGCACCCCCCACCCCCTATTCACGCCTGCTAAACGGTTACGAGAACATCATCATCTCATCTTCCGGAAGATCCATGTACAATGTTCTTTGCGCGAGAAAATGACTCACGAGCGCGCACAGAAAGGACCCCTACATATGTACAACAGCGGGGCGTGTGTGGGAGAAACACATTGGAACCCCCGTTGCTCCGCCGGAGGGAGGGCCAACTTCCAGCAGCAGACGTTGTCCCCTAAAATTTCTGGACTCCAGGTCGTTTGTGCATGCCCAGAAGAAACGAGGAACAAACCGCAAAACCTGTTTTCACCACCTTGATGTGGATATAGCTCGAACGCGTTTGGTTTGGCGGGACGATGATGTTGCTGATCGTGGAAATCCGAGAACAGCAGCAGGAGTCAAGCCGTTTTTTATGCACATTTATTGCCCACGGAAAGGGCGGGAGGGGGGGGGGCTCTGGCTGACCATATGGGAGAAACACCAACACATCATCAGGAAAAGAAGGCGCGCGGAGCGTCGAGCGGTAGGCACCAGTAAAGGGCGGTGACTTGTGTCCAGGCAACGCTAAACACAAGCACCTGCGAGTGTATGTTTTCTCCAGTCGAAGAGGCGGTTGTCGAGTGTTTCGTGTTCTTGGGCAGCTGGCTTCCGCTCCACTGAACAACTGAAACAACAGAAATTGCAGGCTTACTGGAACATCAATTTGCCGCGAAAATGGAAACAACCCCCCCCCCTCGGAATTCCTGCGGCGTCACCAACTTGAAGCGAACCCACAAGAGATGCACACATGTTGCTCGCCCCACTTTCCATTTTATCTCGACCTGGGAACCAAGTCTTACCTACAGCAGTATTTTCTTCGGAGCATCTGCCCAATACATCACGCGCAGCGGTAAGCACTGCTTGATAGAAAATTCTCGAGGCCTATCCCTTGGCCCCCCTGTCCAACAGAGGCGGTGCATTCATTGAAGAGCCCCTATGCCTTTTTTTTTTTTGTATCGAAGCATGCGCGTCGAGACCAGCAGCTACATTTATGGACGGACACGTCCACTTTCCTGACGGGCAGCGCTGCCAAGACCAGATTTGCTCCGTTCGCTCTTTTGGAAGGACTATGTCGCTGCGTGATTTCCATATGTGCTACGCATGTACTGATCTCCTCTGAATTAATAAGGAGCCCTCGTTTAGCGTTATGGCGACGTCGGCCACACACCCAGTGACTAATGCTAGTCGTCGTCCCTGTGGCTCTTTTCATCTTTGTGCCCCCGTCTCGTCTGTGTGTCTTGTCCCGAACGCGGTGCACCCTCCGTTGTGTGGGGGCCAACAACCTGTTGTTACCGACACACCAGCGCCGAGATACGCAGCAGGGTTGGGAGGGTCGTGGCGATGGCCACTTCTAGCGCGCGGGGGCCGGGAGACGGAGAGGACGCCAGAAGTCCGGACGAGCTTAAAGCACAGTGAGAATCCCACCCCAAGATGACAACTACTTACAACTATGAATAGTAGCGTGGAGAACGAGCGAGAGACGAAGACACGAATGGCAGGCAGGGAGCATAGCGTGTTTGTGTTTTATTATTAGCATCGACCGCGCTAACCGGCTGACCAATGAAAAGACGTCAGTCTTAGTGCGGTGTTTGTGTTTGTGTGCGCCTTGCAAGCAAAAAGCTGGCGTTTCGCTACTGCCGTCACAACCACACATACCTTGGCATGACGTGTAACAAATATGGGAGATTCGTCTGTCCTGCACCATTGGCAATTACCAGTATCGGCCATCTACCCCGCATGAGGGTGTCCGCCAAACCACTTCTCTGCCGTTTTGCGCCCCCTTGCCCTCCCTCCTTCCCCGCCTAAAAAAAACAGAGCGGCGAAAAACATGCTCTCCGAGTCCTCCGTGGCGAGCGTGGTGTACTACTGGCTGGAGTTCCGAGACGACCTCACCCCGCAGTGGATGAAGCAGTTCACGTACCGCAACGGCGAAATCCAGGACATCGGCTGGCACGAGCACCTTGGCCTCCTCCTCAGGGCCGAGCCCGAGGAGATGGTGGTCCGCAGGCTGTCGCAGAGGCCGCAGGGCGGCTCGGGCAACAACCCGTACCTCAAGGCCAACCGCACGCAGATGGAGTACAACGTGCTCATCGAGCCCCAGAAGATCGCCAGCAAAATCATGCAGGTACTACTACTGCTGTGTTTTTTTTTTTTTGGCACGCGCGTGATGAGCGCGCGCGGCTCATGGTAGATGCGTCATGAAAGTGCGACATGTTGTTTCTTTTATCACCCCCCCCATTTAGCTGTGACCGCGGGAATCGACCCCGTCAAGTGTTAAGACTAGTACGGACCGAAGAAGGTACTGGGGAGAGAGAACGGAGTGTTTATTTTTTTTGGTGAAGACAACACCAACAATTTGTGAGCCGTCGCAACTCAATTGTTGAGTTGTTGTTTGTTTGTTTTGAGGTGCAACGGCGAACTTTTTTGCGCACGTCTCTCACACTCTTGTTTAACTAACCTCTTGCTGTTTTCTATTCCACTGATATTCTCCCATCGACCTGGCCAACGCAGGTCCGGGAACAGATCTCCCGCGAGTGGATCCAAGATCTGGGCCTCATCTCCGCCGAGAACTCTGAGGTGGAGCGGCACCGGGAGGACTCCTTGTGTCTCGACTCGGAGTCGAAGAAGAGGGACAGGAAGCTCGTCTTCGACCACGGTGAGAGATGGGACGAGAGACAAGCGATAGATAGAGGCAGAGATACAGAGAGACAAAATGATGAGTCGAAACATTGCCACTGCGGGTACGGGTGGTTGCTCTTATTTGTCATTTGTTTCGCGTGGATTTTTGCTCTCTCTGCCGCACACAAACATAACAGGGGGGGGCTCGATTTAGCGACCCCCTGTGTAGCGACATGCCCTGTTCAGCGACAGCAAAATCACGTGGCACCGCCGCACACCAGTTGTTAGGTCAGTGCAGCGACCTGCC